AGGTTATTTATAAAAATATAAAGGCTATTTAATGAAGCCCAGTCATTTTAAGTACGACTGCCCATTTTGTGGGAATCTCATTGATAGGGATGAGAGGTGTGTTTAAAATGATACCACCTTTGGGGCTGGCCATCACTTTGATTATGCCAGAATAGCCAATGATGGACACATGCAGTGAGTCAGAGAACTTGGGAGAGCCAAGATGCAGTGTTTGCACTTCAGGCCATTTCAAGACAATAGCATAAACTATGCTACTATGGTCGACTCTCCGAGATGTGTACCTGGAAGAAGAAGTTAGTAAAAACAGAAACGAATTAGTGGTTTCAATATTTGATGATGTATATCCCCCCCCTCATCAACTTTTGGCAGGGAATGTTAAGAAAATCATTGTTGGTTAAATTTAATATTATTGAAAACATTCATGTATTCAATCTGACTTGGTTTATGAAACTAATATTTAAAGAAAATAAATAATAATAAGAATAAAAAAAAAAAGAAGTGGGTCTTTGATGCCATCTATATACATACACTCATTTGTTACAAATTTTAACTTTCTTTTGAAATATGGTACTTTTGGTAGGTTGGTTATTTTTATTTAGTAGCATAACTCATATTGGTTATCTAATGGATAAAAATATGAAAATTCAAACTTTATAATTAATTCAAGAGAATGACATTATTTCGAGATTAAATTATAATTACTTAGCTGCATTTTTTTCTCTTAATCAATAATCTTACAAAATCAAATAAGGAGTTAAAATTTGTTTCTCCTTACATGAAATGAGATTAATCTTAGCAAATTGTTTTTTTCTTAAATTTTTTTGACAATGTATGCCATGTCTTCAATTTTGCTATAATAATGTTTGGTTTGTTTTATGGCTTATCAACCCCTCATGGGTCATTTAAAGCCAAGGCATTCTTATATTTCATAAAAAAGTTTTTTTTATATACCCAATCATATGGTATCAACTATTTATTTACTTATTCTTTTTTTTTCAACTTATGATTTCAGCTCAAATCACATGGTATCAACTACTTTAGTTTGTTTAGATATCAGTTTTTTTTAGGTTTATATTTTCTTTTGAGAAATGTTATAATATCCATCCTTGCTCTTTCAAAGACCTCCCTTATATTGTTTATATTGAAGAAAGTCTACCTAGATGGAACAAGAGCTGTACATTCAGTCAATGCATGTTTTATAGTGTATGCTGTTGGTTGGTTGTTCTTCCCCTTTCAGTAGGTATGAGTATATGATTTTTGTATGGTCAATGCACAAATGGGCCAATACAACCTCTTCTTTGAGATTTTCTGCATCTTGGCTTCTATTCACCAAGTATTGACTTGATTTGTACTAATTTATTTGGAGCACTGTTACTCCAATATTGTTGCCATTTTTGTTTAAGAAATCTGTTTATTTGGCTCTCCAAGTCTGTGTAAAAAGGATCTATATTTTCAACATGTTTAGCATCTGCATCAGCTTTGTCATTTCCAATTATTCCAATGTGACTTGGGATCTAATACATCACAACATCTATCGACACAGATATTAAATGGAGTTTATTTAGCAACTTGACTACTAATGAGTAGTCAAGTAATTTTTTTTGATGCTATTTGAACTGACAGTGAATTAGAAAAGATTATAATTTTTTTGTTTTTATTTCTTGAAATAATGCTGAGTGCTAGATCGATAAAACAGGCTTCAGCAATGAAGATGGATGTTTTGTCTGGGAGGAGCTTACTGTTTATTTTCTTCTGAGATACTGCTGCACATCTTGTTATATTTCAATGTTTCAACCCATCTGAAAAAATGGATGTGTGATTGGGATAGTTTTCTTTGATTTTATCAAATTCTTCCTGAAAGTTAAGAGGATGTATATTTGTTTTTCAGAATTTGCACAAATCCAATATTATTTTTGGAGATTGTATGGTCCAGGGAGCAGTGTTAGTTTCTTGACAGTTTTTTTTCCTTAAGGTTTGTGTCTTTATTTCCTCATGAAGTGCTGTGACTATTAAAGTATTCTAATAAAAGGCTTGGGTAGTTGATATCTCAAATGTTGGAGCTCATTTTCGTTTATGGGATCTTTTCGTGGCATATATAACAAGCATATGTTGGTAGGACTTATGCAGTCTGGCTGTAACCACAATTGCCTAAAAGACTGTAGTTACATTAATTTGGATCTGGGGGATGATGTTTCTAATGAGGATTGAAGTTCCTCTACAGGCCTTTTGTCCTGCTCCATATATATATATATATATATATATATATATATATATATATGCTATATATGAAAAATTTTTTAGTATTTATTTTATCTTGTTTTAAAATGTTTTCCTGAAGACAAACAACATTTGCACATAAGTCTGTTAGCAGTAGTAAGATGTTCATTAAAATTAGCCTATGGCAATTCCATTGAAGAATTCTGTATACTATGGTTGATTAAATGTCTGTGTGTGTGTGTGTGTATGTATATATATATATATATATATATATATATATATA